TATTTATGACATAGTGATCCCTGTCAAAGATGACCCTGATGAAGGGGAGGCCAGACTTGAGAATGAGATACCAAAAACAATTAGCAGTGAGCCAGCCAACAAACGTATGAAAGTAAAATATGATGATCACTATGAGTTAATAGTAGATGGAAGGGTCTATTATATCTGTATTGTGTGCAAAAGGTCATATGCCTGTCTGACAAGCTTCCAGAGACATTTTAATATTCATTCTTGGAAAAAGAAGTATCCTTGCCGTTAGTGTGAGAAGGTATTTCCTCTTGCAGAATATCGCACAAAGCATGAAATTCATCACACAGGGGAGCGAAGATATCAATGTTTGGTTTGTGGCAAATCTTTCATCAACTATCAATTTACGTGTTCACACATAAAGTCAGTTCATAGTCAAGTTCCTTCTGGAGACTCAAAGCTTTATCATTTACATCCATGCAGGTCTTTACAGATCAGACAATATGCATACCTCCCTGATAGGTCAGGCACTGTGCCTATAATGAAGGATGATGGAATTGGGTATAAGGTTGATGCTGGGAAAAAACCTCCCATAGGGACCACATCCATTCCTCAGAACAAGCCAATGACCTGGGAAGATATTTTTATTCAGCAGGAAAATGATTCAATTTTTAAACAGAATGTAACAGATGGCAGTACTGAGTTTGAATTTATAATACCAGAATCTTATTGAACTCCTTTGAAATATCAAAGTTTTGGTTTGGATTAAGGGGCAGGGCTTTCAGAAGACCTATAAAACAAATTAAGAAATTTTATGTGACACGTCATCTGAAGGTAGTTTAGCTGGATTATTTGTTAATTTTTAGAAACAAATTATTCTGAAAGTTTGTAGAGATTGAGAAGTCCCACCCCCAAGTATCTGTTTATATAGTTAGCTATCAGCTCATTTAAAAGGGGCAAAAAAAGCTTGGAGAGATAGTTTCCAGAACAGAATTTGAAGCAGTCTGAATGTTTTTTTAAAATAACTGGAGTTATTAGCATACCCTAGTATACCCTAAACATTCCCCTTCTATGTTAGCACTTTACTGCTCAATTCTCAATTTTCTTAATATTGAGACTATAAATGTGTGTTGTGTTTGTATATGGCATAAAAAATTAAACAAGAACTTCTGAAGTTGTTCTGGAAATTTTTGAAACAAGGTTCTGCGTGGTTGTGTGTTCTGCTAGTCCAAATGGATAGCAACCTCCTGCCTCCGTCCATGAAAATGGCCATGCAGTGAAGTCTCATCTGAAGAATTAGTTTTAGCTCATTAGATTTAAATCTTGCTTTTATTGCCATAGTGTGGAAAAGACTTTGGTGGCTGGGACTAGTGTATATACCTTTGCTATGTGGTCTCTGTGGTAAAAAAAAAAAAAAAAAATACTAATCTCTGTAATGCAGACAGGAGGGTGAAAAGTTCTGTTGCATTATTTTTTTTAATTTTTGCTCTTACATGTTAGAGGCAGAGTGGAAGTGATTGGATATTGTCTTTTTGTTCATTATGATTAAAAATAGTCCCATGAAAATTTTCAAATTTTGAATCTGTAAGCCACCAAAATAAATCTTTAATTCTGTATGAATCTTTATACATGATAGGTTCCAGAAATGAGACTCCTACATATTTTGGGTAGGAGGCTACTGGCATATATTTTTCAATATTCATATTACTTAGAATCTCTAATAGGAAGTTTTCATTTGAAATAGCTGAATCAGTGATCTAGTACTTATCAGCAGGACCTTTTACGTTTTTACCCTTTCGAAAATAAGTTCCATTCCATCTGCAAATTGCTGCAATGTTATAGCAATCAGAAACTATAAATGGAATGTAATATAGGCTTGTTGATCCCCATTTATCTTGAGACCAGTAAATACCACCTTTTTTCCTTTTTAAATGACACATTTTTAAACATTTAGAAAATAAAGTCAAAACTTATTGAAGTGCTAGAACTAAAAAGAAGGTTGGAAAATATAGCCTAGCATTTATAACAAGATTAACTTGTTGAACTTCTTCTGTAAATGACTTTGCAAAGAAAAAATTTTGATACTAAAGAAGATTGTTGTGCATAGTTATTAGTCATGTGTAACTTTGCTTAAGTATTTCTTAATTCAACATAGATATTTTCTTTCTCCTTAATAATGTATTTTTAAAAATAGTCTATTTCTTGACTTCAAACTTAAATAAAGCTTTAATCATAAAAAAAAAAAAGTTTCCTTGTCTATAAAAAAGAAAGAGAGAACCCGGTTGGGTGTGGCTCAGCAGTTGAGCGTCGACCCAGGAACCAGGAGGGCACCGGTTCAATTCCCGGTCGGAGCATATGCCCAGGTTGCAGGCTCGATCCCCAGTATGGGGCATGCAGGAGGCAGCCAATCAATGATTCTCTCTCATCATTGATGTTTCTATCTCCCTCTCCTGTCCTCTCTGAAATCAATAAAAATATATATTTAAACAAAAAAAAGGGAGAGCGAGAGAACAGATCCTTGGGGACCTGTAGAACAATTATCAAAGTTCTAACAGTTGTACCTTTGGAGCTTGGAAAGAAAGGAGAATGAGATTAAAGCAGAATAAATATTTCAAGAAATAATGGACCTAGACTTCACAAGTTTGGTAAGAAATAGAAATTTATCCACTTAAGAAGTTCAGCAAAAATAAAATTTTAAAAAAATCAAATTTCAGAAGACCAAAGACAAGAAAAAATATTAAAAGCAGCTTGAGGAAAACAACATATTACATATTTGCATGATTACAGATTACTCATCAGAAACCATGGCAGTGAGAAGCCACTTTATAACATCATTAAAGCACTGAAAGAAAGATCCTCAACACACTGAAATTATCCTTCAGCAATTAAAGAAAATAACAACATTCTTTGTTGAAGGAAAATTTGCAGCCATGTTCTAAAAGAAGTGCTAAAGGAAGTTCTTCAGGCTGAATGAAGTACATAGTAAAAAGTAAACATGAAACTTCAGGAATAAATGAAGAGCAAAAGAAATGGTAAAATTCTGGGGAAATATAAAAGACTATTTTTGTACTCTTAAATTCTTTGAAATATAGAAAGTAAATGTTAAAAAACCACTAAATACTATTTCAATGTATGAGCTACCCGGCCAGGGCTGAGATGATAAACTTAATATTCTATATATTTTACAACTGAAAACAAGACAAACTATACATACACACTCATACACACACATATATGTACACACATTTGAAATATATTTGTCTTCGGAGTTCATTTGGAAAAGAGAGGCAAGAGGAACAGTGCACTTAGTTTATTGATAGTTTATCAACTGTGCTGTGAGCCAAATGGTTCCTCCAAAAGAAAATTTTTTATTATCCTAAATGAAATGACAAACACTTTTGAAATGTATCAGCTCTGGTATTAATTCTAAAAGACTAAGGGTAGTTTTCTTCTCATGTAAAATCTTGATCTAATTCCTTTTTAATGTTTTTTAAATATATTTTTATTTATTTCAGAGAGGAAAGGAAAGGGAGAGAGAGATAGAAACATCATCGATCGGCTGCCTCCTGCACATCCCCAACTAGGAATCAAGCCCACAACCCGGCCATGTGCCTCAATCGGTAACTGAACCATGACCTCCTGGTTCATAGATCGATGCTCAACCACTGAGCCACACCAGTCAGGCTTGATCTAATTATTATTATTTTTTAAATATATTTTTATTGATTTCAGAGAGGAAGGAAGAGGGAGAGATAGAAACATCAATGATGAGAGAGAATCATTGATCGCTGCCTCCTGCACGCCCCCTACTGGGGATTGAGCCCACAACCCAGGCATGTGCCCTTGACCGGGATGGAACCTGGGACCCTGGAACCCTTTAGTCCAAAGGCCAATGCTCTATCCACTGAGCCAAACCAGCTAGGGCCTAATTATTGTTTTTTAAGTCCTACAAGCCTATCTTATTCAAGAAAGCCACCAAGAAAAATAACTGGGCACTAGAAGAGCAGACAGAATATTATCAAGCCATTTTTGCCCCAAGCCAAAAAACAAATGTCAAATGCCTTAATTGATAAATTTTATAGAAAGCAGTTTAATTTGTGAACCCCATTTTTCAATCAATTTTGTCTGAATACTAACAGGGGTAATGGGCCAGATCATAGAACTAGGACTCCAAAAAACTTTTTTGAGATTAAAAACCCCCACTATGTTCTATTGCTGGCTCTAGAAGGATCCCTATATTGAATTCTCAGTTGTCTCATCTCCAATACCATAATACTACTTTAAAAGAGCATATTGAGGCCCTGACTGAGTAGCTCAGTTGGTTAGGACGTCATCCCGATATGCCAAGGTTGCAGTTTTGATCTCTGGTCAGGACACATATAAAAATCAACCAATGAGCCCTATCCAGTTGCTTGAAACCCAGCCTCAGTCAGGGCATGTACAAGAGGCAACCAATTAATTTATCTCTCTCACATTGATGTTTCTCTCTGTCTCCCTCCCTTCCACCTTCTCTAGAAATCAATGGAAAAATATCCTCAGGTGAGGATTAACACACACACACACACACACACACACACACTCACCCACACACACACACAAAAGAATCAACCAATGAACGCATAAATAAGTGGTACAATAAATCAATGTTTCTCTCTCTCTCTCTCAAATCAATTTTTTTAAAAAAGAATACACTGCCCTAACTGGTTTGGCTCAGTGGACAGAGGGTTGGCCTGTGGAATGAAGGGTCCCAGGTTCAATTCCGGTCAAGGGCATGTAGCTTGGCTGTGGGCACATCCCCAGTAGGGGGTGTGCAGGAGGCAGCTGATGGATGTTTCTAACTCTCTATCCTTCTCCCTTCCTCTCTGTAAAAAATCATTAAAATCAATAAATATATAAAAATAAAATTAAAAGAACACACTGAGTGTTCATTAGAATTCAAGGCCCAACTAAATATAAATACAGTTTCTGAGGGGGCTTTTGTAAGTTATTTTCATTGCGAGTCCTTCTTCCTCCTTAAGATAATTTTTACTTACTTGGTCAACTTGTGGCTTTTCATTGCTGTGAGAAATTCCCTGACAATCTCAGGACTCTGGTGACTGCATGGTGTTTTTGATATGTATTTTAATGTCTACAAAAAAAAAAAAGGAAAAAGCCAATCTGAATGAGAAATAATTTAGTATTCCACAATTCTGTTTCAAAAATCTTCTGTAAAACAAATGCCTTCAGGAGAGTCCATCTTCATATAATAGGAATTCCTCAAAAAGTAAACCAGTAGCTAAAACAGAAAGAATAATGAAATTTCAGAAGAAAACTTTTCTGGTCCTAAAAAGAAGAAAAAATTTAATCTGTCAATTGCATTATATTTCAGACAATTTTTTAAATACAGGAAACTCAAAGAATAAAATAAATAGCCAATAATCCATATGGATATAAATGACTGAATAAATAAATTGATGAGAAATATCAACCATTTCTTATACAAGAATTCTAACCATTAAACATAAAAGAAATGAGTAAACAAATCACTATTAGGCAGCTCCACCATAGTAATAATTACTACAGCAAAGACCCACCAATGAATGCTAAAATTAATAAGCAAAAGATTAAGGAGAGCCCTGGCCCATGTCACTCAGTGGTTAGTGTGTCAGTCTGTGCACCAAAGGGTCTCAGGTTCGATGTCTGGTCAAGAGTACATACCTGGGTTGCAGGTTCAATCCCTGGCCCCTGTTGGGCTTGCAAGAGGCAACCAATCAATGTGTGTCTCTCACATCAATGTTTCTCTCTCTCCCCCTCCCTCCTTCCCTTCCACTCTCTCTAAAACCCAATGGAAAAAATATCATCAGGTGAGGATTAACAACAACAAAAAGTGCAAACATCAGGTTAGTCACACACTCCTCCATAACAACAAATACTAATAGATCCAGTACTTTGTATAGAGACCTACAAAATAATAGTTGAACCCAAGAGCTCCATATTCAAATGAATTGTCATTCACATTAAGAACTCCCTCCTGGGAGCACACCCATCCATGCCTTTCTTCCCTCTCAGGCAAAACTCTAAGAGCCCCCATGAGATTTGCAACCAGTGTAGCAATGGGAAAGGGCAGCTGTCCTGAGCTAACTCCCTGACCCTGTCTCCAAGGCCTCTTTTTCTATGAATTTTCAGTGAGCCGAAGTAGCCCCACCTAGGCTTTCTCCTATTGCTTCTTCTATCCTGAGCCCTTCCTGTGTTTCACTATTCCCAGTTTTAATAAACATACTCTCAAAATAAAATATTTTTTTAAAACACACTAGAAATATATTCTCAGGTATAAAACATCTCAAAACATTTAGTCCCACACAAAGTTTTCTTAAGGCACCACATATTAAAAGCAAGAACTTAAGGAGTAGCAATGAGCTTAAACTGCTTAAATGTGTAGTTAAAAGTACATAGTAGTTGCCCTTGCCAGTTTGGCTCAGTGGATAGAGCGTCAGCCTGCGGACCAAAGGGTCCCGGGTTCCATTCTGGTCAAGGGCATATACCTCGGGTGCAGGCTCCTCCCAGGCCCGGGCCCTGGTCAGGGTGTGTGTAGGAGGCAACCTATCCATGTGTTTCTCTCACATTGATGTTTCTGTCTTTCCCTTTCTCTTCCACTCTCTCTCAAAATCAATGGAAAAATATCCACGGGTGAGGATTAAAAAAAAAAGTACTTAGTAGTTTTTTAAAATTAGTTTATAAAAAAAATTGCCAACATGTATTTTTTTCTTCTTTGAAAGGTATGAACTAGCCTTAGTTGATTTGGCTCACTGGATAGAATGTCAGCCTGTGGACTCAAGGGTCCCAGGTTCAATTCTGGTCCAGGGCACATGCCCCGGTTGCGGGCTCAATCCCCGGTGGGGGGGTGAGCAGGAGGCAGCCAATCAATGATTCTCTCTCATCACTGATGTTTCTAACTCCCTCTCCCTCTCCCTTCCTCTCTGAAATCAATAAAAAATATTTAAAAAAAGAAAAGAAAACAAAGGTATGAACTATATAATGTAAAAGAACATGAATGAATGATAGGATTTTAAATACATGATTAAATGAACAAAAGTGAATAAGGAGGAATAGTGACAAAAGTGCTAAACTCCTTATTTTCCTTAAAAGGGATTATGATAAGCTTAATTCAAATTTCGTATCTTTGAAAAGAAAAATTAAAGAAATTAAATCCTTTATAGACAAAATCAGAACTGGAAGGAAATAGCAAGAAAACAAATTAAAATGACAGATTCAAACATCACTGCCCTAGCCGGTTTTGCTCAGTGGATACAGCGTTGGGCTGCGGACCAAAGGGTCCCAGGTTCGATTCCGGTCAAGGGCATGTACCTCAGTTGCATGTTCCTCCCCACCCTGGGTAGTGGTCGGCGCTTGCACAGGAGGCAACCAATCGATGTGTTTCTTCTCTCACATCGATGTTTCTCTCTGTCTTTCCCTCTCTCTTCCACTCTCTAAAAATCAATGGAAAAATATCCTCAGGTGAGAATTAAAAAAAAAAAAATCAAACATCACCTATAACAAATACAATGGCTTAAACTTTCTTTTTTAAAGACAAAGCATAAGGCTGGGAGAGAATGTAGCAAAATGTCCACTAGATCAAGATTATGAATTACTTTTTCTGTCTTCTTTATACTTTTTGGTACATTCTAAATTTTCTAGAATAGTAAGTATTACTTTGTGTATAATAAAGAATTTGACATTGCCCAAATCTGGCCTTTGACCTCAGCTTCTGGGAGGTAATCTCCAGACTCTTTAGAATGTTATAGTTTATAGAAGTATCTTTGTCTCAGGCCTTAAATCATATTGGATAGTCTCAACAATGTGACTTAGGATAGGAGCTTTGGGTCATACAGTATCATTCAGCCTGAAGGCTGAGATGAGCTACATGGGCAATTAATTATTCAATCATGCCTATGTAATAGAGCCCCAATAAAATCTTCAGACACTGAAGCTCAGCTGAGCTTCCCTGGTTTATTGGTACAATATTCTGTGCATACTGTCACATAACCACATTAAGAGAACAACACTCTGTATTAGATATTTCTCTTGGAATCTGCCTTACTTGCTTCTTCCCTTGACCAATTTTACTCTGCACCCTTTCCCTGTAATAAACAGTAATCTAGAATATGATAGCATTCAGTGAGTTGTGAATACTTCTAGACAATTACTGAATCTGAGGGTGGTCTTGGGATCCCTGAATTGAAATTGGTATTAAAAGTGAGCGCGGTCTTACAGACTATTCCTCTAATTTTATAGTTGGCTAACCCTGGCAATTGGCCAAACTCTTTGCACTTTTATAAACAGAGTAACAACAGGATTATAGTACAACTATTCAAATCAGATAATAGGCAAACTTGATTTGGTGGCTAGTCATTAGAAGAATAAACAAACCCTCCTCAAAGACAGTTCAGGCAGACCCTCCAGAAGCCTAGGCTTACTTCATAGGTGATAGTATTCAAGTTCTGTTGTCCAGTACTGTGTTTATTCTTTCCACTCTCTTTACGCTGTTCTTTCAGATCAGTTAGTAACTGGAACACCTAGGAAGAGATATACAAAAAATTTTTAAATGAGAGTTTGAGAAATATATCTATTTCAAGGTCATTGATTTTAAAGATAAAATAGTACGCCCCAACTCTTACATTAGAGCAAATATGAATCCAAGAAATATGTGGCCTTTTAAAAATATTTTTATCTAAGTCAAATAATTCAAATTCATTAGTTTACTTAAAATATTTCAAATGTTTCCTACCAATATATACCATACTTCTGATCTCAAAAATATTTTCAATATTTCAAAGTAAATTTTAAGCCCAGCCGGTTTGGCTCAGTGGCTAGAGCGTCGGCCTGCGGACTGAAGGGTCCCAGGTTCGATTCCAGTCAAGGGCATGTACCTTGGTTGCGGGCACATCCCCAGTGTGGGGTTATGTGGGAGGCAGCTGATCGATGATTTTCTCTCATCGATGTTTCTAACTCTCTATTCCTCTCCCTTCCTCTCTGTAAAAAATCAATAAAATATATTTAAAAAAAATAAAAATAAAAGTAAATTTTACTAAAATAAATAATTTTTTAAAAATATATTTTATTGATTTTTCACAGAAAGGAAGGGAGAGGGATAGAGAGCTAGAAACATCGATGAGAGAGAAACATCGATCAGCTGCCTCCTGCACACCCCCCACTGGGGATGTGCCCGCAACCAAGGAATATTCCCTTGACCAGAATCGAACCTGGGACTCTTCAGTCCGCAGGCTGACGCTCTATCCACTGAGCCAAACCAGTTAGGGCTAAAATAAATAATTAAAAAAACAAAACAGATTCTAGCCCAGCCACCGTGGCTCAGTGGTTGAGCGTCAACCTATGAACCAGGAGGTCACGGTTCAATTCCCAGTCAGGGCACATGCCCTGGTTGCGGGCTTGATCCCCAGTGTGGAACATGCAGGAGGCAGCCAATCAATGATTCTCTCTCATCATTGATGTTTCTCTCTCAAACTCCTTCTCCCTTCCTCTCTAAAATCAATTTTTTAAAAAATAAATGGATCCTACCTCTCTAATATGAAAATCTAGTATACTTTATTTTGGGCAAGTGCCAAAATATAGTTTACAAAAAAGGGGGGGAGAGGGGGCCCTGGCTGGTGTTGCTTGGTGGTTAGAGTGTGAGCCTGCACACTGAGGGGTCTTAAGTTCGATTTCTGGTCAAGGGCACGTGCTTGGGTTACAGATTTGATCCATGGCCCCCTGTGGGAGGCAACCAAATTGATGTGTCTCTCTCAGGTCGCTGTTTTTCTCTCTTCCCCCTCCCTCCCTCCCTCCCTCTATCTTCTTCTCTCCCTCTCCCCCTCCCTCTAACTCTCTCCCTCAGTTTCTCTCTCTCTCTTCCTCTCTTCCTCCCTCCCTTCCTCCCATTCCACTCTTTGTAAAAATCAATGGGGAAAATATCCTCAGATGAGGATTAACAAAAAAAGGGGGGGGCAGGGAGGGAAAAATGCTATAGGACTTAATAAGTAAACTTTCCCCATAAAGGGAAAAACATGTGTATTAGTGTTAAGAAGGGTGTGGGGCGTATATCTCTCTCCTGTTTTAGAGATTATACAGAAAATTCAGGGAAGTATTACAGGTTCACAGATTCATAGACCATTACTAGATACAATGCAACTCCTTGCCTGCCTGTCATTTTCAGAAATAGTGCCATGAGACCCAATTAAGGAAATCAATATTTCTCCAATGGATAAAACACCCAAACACTTACCAGTCCAAACTGGAAAAGGAAATTCCTAAAAGCCAATGGCTTAACCAACAACCATTTCTTCCTGTTATGAGCAGCAACCATTTAAGATGAATCTTTGGGAAGAGAGGAATATGGCCAACTGTCTTAATTCAACTACCTTCTATATACTAGGTATATCACCCAGTGGAGACTCAAGTCTCCTACAAGTCTTTATGAGTTTAGACTCTGATATATGAAAAATAGACAATGAATGTATGTATGAAGGGCTCTTTCTACATCGGGAATTAACCTATCAGATGATTTTATTAGTGCCAAACAAGATCCAGGCAAATGGAAGGTAGGCAAAATAATGTTATATCCCCCCGCCTCTCACCAACCTCTTTCCTTCTTTCCTCTCTTTCCCCAACAACCAAACCCTTCAGCCCCAAAATCCCCAATCTGTTGGTTCTTACTAAAGCATTAATGATAATGGTGAGTCAACTAAGCTCTCACTTTCAAAATGAAGATTTTAATATTTATGAGACTATTGTGAGGATCAAAATAATGACATAGAAGTATTTTATAAGTAAAGAGTGGTAATTAGGAAAGAGCATACATATTTTAATAGAAGCTTTTGCTGATTTTAGAAAGAGTTCCAAAATAGATGCTTCCACTCTTCATGAAGCCTTCCATATAAAGATCTAAAATTTTCAGATTTGGGGAAGATTGCCTACTGTACACTAAAGTCTTCCCAGTTTTCCTGAATTAATGTAATTTACCAAGCTTGGGATATTACAAGGTCCACCAGATAGTGCCATCTGTCATATTTTAAAGTGGAAAATCCAAATTAATTCAGTCATTTCTAACTACAGTTAATTCAATAATCTTCAAAAGCAAAGAACAAAACTATCAAAGAGGAAAATACTTCAAAGCTATTTACCTCATAGTTACTGAGCAGCGCAGAATTGGCATCCTTCCTGCAAAAGAAAAGTTAATTATCATAGTGTTGGTTCAAATCATTTTGTGTGAATTAAATATCTATGTAATAATTCCTCTGTCAAAATTCAGTAGTCCAGCCCTGGCGGGTATGACTCAGTGGTTAGAGCATTGGCTCAAGGACCAAAGGGTCGCAGGTTCAATTCCCGGTCAAGGGTATGTCTCTCAGTTGCAGGTTGGATCCCCAGCCTCAGTTGGGTGCAGGAGGCAACCAGTAGATGTATCTCTCTCACACTGATGTTCCTCCCTTCCTCCCTTCCTCCCTTCCCATTCCCTCCTCCCTTTCACTCTAAAAAAAAAAAAAAAGAACAATGGAAAAAATATCCTAGGGTAAGGATTTAAAAAATTAATTATTTTTTTAAAAATTCAGTAGTCCAGTTCAGGAATTTAGGGACTACAACTTTTTGGAGAAATGCCCTAGTTTAGCTGATAATGGACAATTTTAGAGCATACTTTCCTTTTTACAGCCACTGTATACCACACATCCATCACTAGGTAGGTGATTAAAATACTCTTATCCCTAGTCTATGTAGGCAAAAGTTAAGAGAAATCAAACATCAGGGGGAAGTTAGTTACAGGAAGAACACTGGGGGTGGGACCAATAAACAGTATGAGGGTGCTAAAATCATCTGGAGAAACAGTGCTTCTCATCCCACAGCCACGGCCTCTTCCCAGTACCATCTGCCTTCCATCAGCTATTGACATCTTGGGCAGCCCAAGTCCTCCTGCTGAATCACCAGAAATGGGATCCTTAACACTAGTATCACCACTGGGAATTCCAGCAATGTCAGAAATCTTGACAGATATTGACAAAACTACAACAAAGATGTTCAATTTCTACAGTTCATGTGTCAAGCAGAGGTCAAAAGCCTGGCACCCTTGTGTAACAGTCAAGGCAAAAAGTCATCTTTCATTTATGAATGAGCACAGCAATGTGACTTGCATTAAATTGATTCATTCTATGATACAATAGAAAGTATTTCTTGTTTTTGATAATCTAAAGAAAGTCTAGTATAATAATTATAAACACAGTTTTAAAATCAGACAAATCTGGGTTCATATTATGGCCCAGCTACTTATAAGGTACTAGGGGCCCGGTGCACAAAAATTTGTGCACTCGGGGGGGGGGGGGGGGTCCCTC